CTGGATCAACGTGTGCAGCTGGTTGTTAACTTGTAGCAGTGTTTCCCCCATTCCTCATCTCGCTATCTGGTATCTGCTTCATGCACATTTTTAAGTGAAGCTTTTTAGTCTGTCCACGTCTCGTCTTTAACTTTAGAATACTTTTACAATTGCTAATTAACACAAAAATATGAATTCCCTTGCATTCCACTTAAGGCAGGCTACTTATTTAGCTGATTACTTGGCTTTGATCAGAAACAAGTCTAAACAGAGAATATTACGTACAGACGATTGAAAGCCAGCGTTGACATTCCTCTGCAGATGGAGTCTGATCACACTTATCAGCTTGTGAGTAAGCAACAAGTCCATCAGCTCACACACCCTGACACAAGAGGAAGTGAGTTCTGCGTTGTCATCCAGCATGGCGGGCCTCGTCGCCGACCGGTCTCTGACCCTGGATGGGTCATGGCACGGCAACAGCATCATTGGCAAGGTCATTTCAGCTGACGCTTATACTCAGACTTTCACTTGTTTCCCAACCTCACCACTATGTGTTCACTCCACACCAGTGTCGGAAATACACAAGACCAAATTTCTCCCAAGAAATATAATTCCGGCCCCGATATCACGAGGACAGGGGCAACAAATGCCCCCATAATTTCCCCCGACAATAATTAGAATTTAGTTCAACTTGTTCGTTGCCGTAATAACCCGGTCCAGTTGCCATTGAATGTTTTGATTCTCGCCTTGACTGATGTTGCGTGTGTGGCATGAATAAAAAAATGTAGCGCTTCTTCATAAGACCTGTGAGTGAGGGAGAGCAAATCCAGCCTCCGTCATCGTCTCTGGAACAAAAGAAATCACCAATCGAAAGATAGATTAGCTTGGGGTGGGGAGACCACAAGACAACCACACACAGTTTTTTCAGGGTCCTCGAGGGACTCGAACTTGCCCACATTCTTCTGCTGACTTTACATTAGAGGTCATTTAGCTGACGCTTTTATCCAAAGCGACTTTACATTTTGAACCCATGGCTTTTTACATTTTTGCCCAGGGAGCAATTAGGGGTTAGGTGTCTTGCTCAGGAACACTGGGGCTTGAACCACCAACCTTGCGGTTCCCGGCACACCCTCTTAATGATCTTGAAATTATTTAATTGTCTGGGTCAGGAGCCCGTCACGTTAGTTAGCTAACGTTGGCAAGCTCTGATTAGCTATTTAGGCTAACGTTAGACAGAGTGCAGTCAGTGAGAGATGTTTCCTCTCCTCATAAGTCTTTTAGTTAACAGCCAATCCTCCATTTATTAGTTGAGACTGTAGTTGACGGTTCAAGGTTTAAATGTGTTGTTCTTTGTTTTGACAGAAGCATGGAGTAATCAGCGCCACCACAGAGAGACAACTGTGGAAGCTGTGCACGGATGCACGCTGCAGAATGAACAAGCTGTTTGACATTGTTTCACATGTTGCTAAACACGAGAAACTATAATGAAATAAAATTGAATGAGTCTGATTTATGTTTTCTGTTCATTTTGGGTCAAAAGAAATCTAAGAAACACTGAATCTGTAGACTACTGACTAATATTCTTATTGCTGCCATTTGATGACAAATGCATATACACTAAGCCCAATTAAGTATATTTATTATTTTTAACAACGGTTAAATGTTATTACACAAGTTTCAAAAAATGCCCCAAATTTCTTATGAAATGCCTCTGGTTTTCAGTCAGTGAGGGCAAAAATTGCCCCCGAAATATTATGTAAACCTGCTACCCTGCGCTACACAGTGACTCCCTCAGTCACTGTGTCACTCTGGGACAACTTGAGTTACTACACAAGTAGCTTTGATTTCCAAAAGTTAGAACAAACAGAACTTGATTGCTGTCCTGTGAAAACTGCGTTTATCCAAAACGTCAAGCATTCAAACACTGACAAGCTCACACAAGCAGCCCCGAAGAACGTATTTTGGACATTATACTGGTTTATTTATCTAAAGAAATACTAGGTTTTCATTGGACGGTGAAAAATGTACCTTATATTTTGTACATTTTGTAAATCATCTTTCCATGTGCCCTCTTCGGTACGGATGGGTGGTTCGGGTTTTTTCCAATACCGCGCGGACAACACCGAAGGAACGCCGCTGGTGACTGAATCATCAGAGTAGTGTAAATAAAGTATTTCTGTCACGGTGTGGTTCACTTCATGTTATATTTTGTAGTTTTCTGCCACTCGTGTCCCCGGGTAACTTCGCTTCCTGCCTTGTCCCGTCATCCCCTGTGATCGTCTAATAGTTTCCACCTGTGTCCAATCACCTGCACCTCCCTAGTGTATTTAAGCCATGTGTGTCTGTTGCCACTTGTCGTGTCCTTGTCTTTCGCCACGCATGTTCTTGTCTTTCGTCGTGGACGGTCGTAGTTTCTGTCTCCCGTTTTTCCCCTGGTTCCTGTGTGTTTTTGCCCCTTGCCCTTTTGCTTTAACCTTTTTGACAATGAAAGTCCCTTTTGTTTTGAACTCTGCGTCTGAGTCCTACCTCCCGCAATCCCTGACAATTTCAATCACCTCAGACCCCGAAAGGAAGCACCGAATCGTTTCGGTCCTCAACCCTACTCTTCAATTCCCGTCAGCATGCATCTTTACGCCGCCAAGACGATAAGACGATTAATCGTTAAGGTTGTTTATCGAGCTGTCATCTGATCTGCGTTTCCCTGCTTTCACATATCTGTACATTGAAAATCTTTGCCAGCAGTTTTCCAGAACCAACAAAATGTTCACAATACCAACTAGGGGCCAAAGAAACTATGTTGCTCCTATTTCTGACATTTTATAGAAAAATTAAGGAACTGATAACAAAAAAAAAGAAAGACTGATTATCTTATCTGAGTATCTTAAAAATAATCGTTACTTACAAACCAAGGTGATGATATTGAGGGAACATACTGTATAGTATGTTAACATATATAAATAATAATACTTAATACTTATGTAAATATAAGTGACAAAAAATATTTCAAAGTCACTATCAGTTAAATAGAATTGTATGACCTCTCTGAAATTGTGCACATGGACTGATAATTGAAACTAGGTTAAAGAACAATCTCAACCTCCCCAGGACATGGTCAGCGATTCTGGCTCATCAGATGGATTGTGCAGCTCTCCTACAGCTGGACGTCACCCCCCGTGTGAGCGGTTGCGAGGGCATGTGTCAGTGTAGCCCGTGCTTTAGCGCTTGTGCACTTATTGGCCTATATTGACATTAGTGTGGTCACGCTTTGAACAAACACTGTCTGCAGAGCTGAAGCCAACGAGCAAACAGTAGCAGTGGTGTGAGGCCCTTATCTCGCCACAGAGATGGACAGTATTTTTATTACTTTTATTTTTGAGTATTTTGTCATTTGTATTTGATAGGGCCAATAAAAAAACTAACGTTGTTTGTAATGACAGATGTCAACGAGCTTAATGTATCATTTATGTCAGGGTCTGGCTACTGGCTACAGCCTATTGTTCATGATGATGGTTATAATGTCATGCCGCATTTTCATGTATTTTTGCCCATCTCTGTCTCCGCGCTTTCACCGGGAGGCACCGGCTACTTATACCTACTCGGGTTTCCAATAAAAAAGGAAAAAACACCCAATTTACCTTCAGACGCATGGGGCCCTTTAAATTCAAACTCAACCGTTATGAGGAGAAACCTGCACTGTGACAATCATGACATCACGTGTCAAATAAGTCAGCTGAAGAATTAGTTTGCCACAAGACCGACTCCAAAGCTCCCACACACACAGACAGGCGTCGCTAATGCTGTTGCTGTCAAGTTGTTCTGCGCTCATGCTGATGAGGAAGACACTGACAGAACAAGCTTTCACTGAATTTAGGCGTTATAACTTACATATAATACACCGTACAGTGAGCTTCATCCGGCAACAGTACAACATAGTTTCTGGCTACTCAAAAGTACACTTACCATACCACTACCATATTCTTCAGTATTTAAACAAAAAAAGGGATTTAAAAAAAAATAAATTCAGATCTTTCAGACATTTGTTACGCTCAATACACGCAGATGGTGGCTGAACAGTATGGTTTCATATGTGTGTTTATAAGTGATTTTGTCATGCACTTAAGCTGGAAAGTTTGGAATTGTGAGAATCCATTTCTGACCTTTAAAATATGATATTGACCTTGGAAGCTGCAGTTGACTAAGGGTTTCCTCTGGATTAGGGTTATCATGTGAGCTGGAGTTAGCCCAGTAGTCATGGTTACCACTGATGATGATCACATGTTCAGCTTTTTCCAGAATGAAGTCCACCTGCAGACCGTTCGATGGCTCTGACCCGATAGTGTCTCCCCAAATGGGCTCAGCCCATCTGAGGCCATTAGTCTTTCACAGGCCTGACCTGTTAGAGCTTTCCGGCCAGCTGAGCTCTGTTGCCAAACGGGGGAAGGGGGGTAAATACAGCCTGTGTGGAGAGCAGCTCAGTGGTCCTCGCCACCATTCTTTCACGGCAGCTCCAAAATAAGCCGCACTGCTCCAAAATTAAACAAGAACAACCTCTCTTTGTGTGTGCCCCCCCTCCCTCATTCAGGCCTCCTCTGTGGCGGTCAGTTACCCAAACACAGGTTAAGTTCAGTTTGACCTAGGAGACCCCTCACAAACATTGAGTATTGCATGGGGGGTAGTAAAGACAACCAGGCCTCTCTCACCATCACATGGGGAGGAATACATCTTGTCAATGAGGGCCACAGCTTCAATGCCTGTGCTGTGATAAACCTGCATCACTAACGCCTTGCTCAAGAGCACTGCAGCCTCATCCGGGTCAGCCAAGAGGTCAGCTTCGTGATCAATAAGGCTGATGCCAAGATACGTGACGCTGCTCATCGCTAGCTGCCCCACCTATTTACTGAACCCCGACCTCACTGGACTTTACATCTGCTCCACTGCAGGACAATGAACCCCCCACCGCACCACACCGCACCGCACCACCCGGGGAGAAGGGGGAAGGGGACGGGGGCAGCATCACTCACCCAGCGTTTTAACCGCGATCTGCCGCGTCAGAGGCGGCGGCAGGTTGATGCAGACCAGATCCACGTCCTGGTGCAGCAGCACGTCGTCGATCCGGTTGGTGTAGAACGGCACGTTCATCTCCTTGGCCAGCTCCTCCGCCTCCTCCTGCGTCCGGCCCCACAGCGCCTTGACGGCGAAGCCCTCGTTCTTCAGCAGCGGGATGATCACCCGGGTGGTCAGGCTGGTGCCGAACACGCCGACCCCTGGAAGCATGGCTCGGCTTTATTCGTCGATTTCTGTTTTCAGTCGCGTCGTTAGAGCTCCGGAGGACGGCTGAACGGGAGGGGAAGCGGCGAGCAGGCACCGTCAGGTCGGCCATCCACCTGCAGCCAAACGCCCGCTGTGCCGCATTTGCCCCGGCGCTCCGGCTCTGCGATCGGGCACGTAACGTTGTTATCCCCGGCCCCACGGGAAGGAATCCAATAAACAGATGGCAAACCGGGGCCTCCACGTTAGAAAGGACAATTCAAATGCAGTGTCCCGGTCTTTACCTTGTCCACGTCTGACAGAGATCAGCGCACGGACTGCGCCAACCAGTGAAGGGCATGTCAGCCCCTTCCTGGGTCAGAAATTCTCTTTTCTTCAACAGCACCCACCCGTCCATGCTACGCGAGGCATTAAAAACGAGAGGCAGGAAGGTGCTTCATCTGACGGTGTAATGACAGAAATGCCTCCCCGGAGGACCGCTCAGCAGCAGCCAGACTACGCTGAAGGCGCTTGTTCACGCTGCAGCTCGCGCATGCGCGGTCAAGTTAGAGCTCCGGACAGGAAAGACTACTGTTAGCGATGTGTCAAAATAAAAGCGTTACTTGCACGGTCGATATTTGCCACCATTGTAGTCTGTACACTCCCATCAAAAGGAGAAACCACCCAATTTAGACTAATTCTGCCTTCTACTATTTTAATTACTATTATTATTTCCAGTACATATTAAATGCATTGATCATTTTTCACCCTCGATACAATTACACAATGGGATTGGTTTTACTTTATATTTTTTAAGGATTAAGCATCAAAATGATACATATACAGAAAACACTACACGGCATTATTCACACACCGATGACAGCAAAATTCAATAATGAATTAAAAACCAGTGTTTTGCGCGCTTTTATTTTGAAGTAATGTTATCAGAACAATAAAAACAGGCACTCTGTGCAACAGCAAGTTAAAAGCAAAGAAGGGTTTGGGACTTTGTTTGGGTTCAAATGTTGTTAAAAATGTTCAAATGTTTATTGAAAGGCATGTTCACTCCTCCTGCTTTATTACAGTTATGTGAAAAAGCACTCAGCATATTAACAGATATTACAAAAACTTGCTTTGCATTTTTAATACACGTCGAAGGGGAAATGTCAGATGTAAGAGAACTTGACTAACCTGACCAACAGATGGTTAGTTAGGTGAAGTTCTTTCTGAAAGATGCTGGCATTATAGCGCACCTTATTGTGCGCCTGCTTGCTAGCTAATGGCCGTCGCTTGGTTACCACTGATGGAGCCACGGCCTCGTTAAGGACGCCTAGCGCCGACCCTCTGGTTCCTTCCCAGATTAACACTGCAGCACTGTCATCGTTTTCACTGTTGTAACTTTCTTCAACCTTAATTATAGATACGTTCTTCCCATGAAGATAAAAAATGATTAAACCAAAATGAAACCCGTAAAAAGTTGTGGCCTTTTGAGTTGCATAGGAGGCTTTTAGCCAGCAGGAGCTTTGCTAATCTACAGCTGATTGGACAGTTTTTTACTCAGCGGCGCAAAGCTCCGATCTATACCTGCACAGGCATACGACATTACAGCCAAGTGCACACATCACTTAACGGTTGTTTATGTCCTCAGCAAGTAGTGCTGCTACTGCTGTCAAGCATCCATAAGCATGATGCAGATCACAGAGCACCCTCTGGCCTTACACCCTCTGCCGGACCTCTTGGTGGGAGAGAGAGATTTACAATACAATGCCATGACAATATAATAAAATAATATTCAAAAGGAAGTTGTGTTGAACTGACTTGTCTACCAGGGATTATCGAGCAAGCAAAAGAGCAGGAAGTGTGAATTAATTTAAGCCTCAAAAGCGTTTTTTTTATTACATTACATTACATGTCATTTAGGAGACATTTTTATCCAAAGCCACTTACAATAAGTGCATTTAACCATTTTCACTTTCTGAACCTCCAGTATAAAGTGTTTTCAACCCTTTCTGAGGGCGTTTGTGTAGCAAGCCTTGCACATTGTGTGTGTGTGTGTTGTCAAACATATAGAGATGTCTCTCTCACGTTGTCTGACTTAAATATGTCCTCATGATGGATTCAACTCATAAATTAACGTTTACATCAGTGTCTGCCCTCTATCTGCAGCAAGAAGCCACATTCAAAGGAAGACAAGGCTGCCCTCTGGTGGACAGATGCTTTTCTGACTACGTGGCTCCACCAGTCTGCACACAATGACCAGAATACACATCGATTCACCTCCACGCGCTGTTTATAGGATCGACCCGTCTTTTTTGGGCTTGTGACCCCGCTGATATGAAGCCACATCTCCTTGTGACCACTACTCATCGTCCTGGGCCCTCTACGGTCCGTCCACAGCTGGACACTGGACAGCAGGATCTCAGTGGGGCGAGGGGGAAAAAGGCTCACAAAATTTCCATAAATCTAAATATTTGACCTCAAAACCAGTCGATCAAGCCATATGGTTGGTTGCTGGATCTTACCCACACATGGTGATGGTTTTATTTTCTTCTCACGGCTCACTTCTCACTGAACGCGCAGCAGGGCATCAAGCAGAAACAATCGTTTATGGTGACGTCGCACCACAACAAGAAGTTGATCAAGAAGGCAGGATTTCTTACAGGATTCGAGCTCTGTTAAAAACTCTTCACGCGGGAGCGGTCCCCGGTAAATACAACCCGCTGGAGTTCAGACGTCTGTGATGTCTTTACCGTAGACGCAGGGGCCTCCTCTGTCTCCTCCTCCTGACTATAGCACCTCCTCGTCCCCTCTACTCCGCTCCTCTTCCTCAGTCAATGATTTACAGAAGAACTTGAGCATTTTTCATGCGATGGTGGTATAGTGGTGAGCATAGCTGCCTTCCAAGCAGTTGACCCGGGTTCGATTCCCGGCCATCGCAAACCCTTTTCTGTGGGATTAAAAGGCGATGGTTTACTGATCTGCTTATTAGGTGTGCCGGTGGGCTCTGTTGATGGAGATGCTCAGGAGACATAGGAGGTACTGGGAAAAAGTCATCTTCACAGAGCCTGCAGGGAGAGAAGCTTCATAATAAATAATCAACCCCTGGTTTAAAACAAACACACGCCCAGTGACTATGACAGATGTTTTGAGAAGAAAAGACAGAATGAGATATATTTGGCTGTAAGTGATTTAGGATTTTTAGGTGGTAAAAAGCCAAAAAAATATGAGAGCACATGTTTGCTCACAGCTCTGCATCTGTTGCTTTGAAGGGTAGATGCTCAACATCGGCCTCTCCAGCTCCTCATCTTCATCTTTCCCTTTTTTACAGCCCAAAACCACAAATAACAAGGGGACGTTTCGTTTGTTGGGGCAGTGAGTGGAGTGGGGATTTACACGTTATCTCCATGTTTCAATCAATTCCTACTTTTTCTTCGTTCATACTTAGAATAGTCTAAGTCATTTGTTTTCTACTATCGTCAATCTCTTCGGTGCTCTCCCGGATTGATGGAGAAAGTCCAGAGAAACTCTTTCATTCATTCAGCATTCATTCAAACAACGGGTAAATGCTGTGTCATCACCACAGCGCAACTAGTGGCCAAAAACATATTACATCCATAGTGGTTTAGCACTGGACGTTCAAGGATTCAGGATTCGAGCTCTGTTAAAAACTCTTCACGCGGGAGAGGTCCCCGGTAAATACAACCCGGTAGAGTTCAGACAGTCTTTGATGTCTTTACCGAGAATGCAGGGGCCTCCTCTGTCTCCTCCTCCTGACTATAACACCTCCTCGTCCCCTCTACTCCTCTCCTCTTCCTCAGTCAATGATTTACAGAAGAACTCGAGCATTTTCCATGCGATGGTGGTATAGTGGTGAGCATAGCTGCCTTCCAAGCAGTTGACCCGGGTTCGATTCCCGGCCATCGCAAACCCTTTTTGCGATGACCAACCAGGTGTAGTTTACTCAGTCTTTGATGTCTTTACTGAGGACGCAGGGGCATCCTCCTCTTTGACTCCCCTTTTCCTTAGTCCATGATTTACAGAGGAATCCCCCCATTCCGTGTGCGATGGTGGTATAGTGGTGAGCATAGCTGCCTTCCAAGCAGTTGACCTTTTTGATTCCCGGCCATCGCAGAACATTTTGGTAACCGATGGAGTGTTTTTAAGTACAGTAAGAGGTGAGAACCGATGTGTCTTAGTTATTAATTCCATGCATGGTGTATATATTTTGGCAGAATTTAGTGGCTCAAATTTCAAGTTTTAATTAAAGGCATTGAGGTGTCGCATGCCTAACATTTTCTCTTCCAGCAGCGTAGGTGCACCGTGACATCGTGCAGTTCTGGGTTGGGTGGGAGCTGCTGGAGAGAAACCACATTATTGAGGTTGTAATCTCAATTTACCCATTTCACACCACCAGGACATGATGGCCATTAAGTCCATCACTTCTGGTTTTGGACTTGTGAATATCTTGAATTCCTGTTGACATATTCCCTATTATAGTTTCTGGAGTTCTTTGAATATGATTATTAGTGTTCAATACCAATCCTGTTAAACCCTAACAATGACCAGTTCCATGAACTACAGTAAAGCAGTATATTCCCTTGAAATATTTTTTCAATTATTTTTACGTTAAATTGCATGCAAGAAAGGCATGAGTAAAAAGAATGCAAACTTAATATTACACGCTTAGTCACAACTTCCCATGCCTGGGAAGCTCATGAATAGTGAGCATACTGTGTGCGTGTTTATATATATATATATATATATATATATATATATATATGTCATGGAAACGTCCTAACATAGATCATCTCCAACGTAGAATTCCAACGTGTGGAACATGTTGATCTATGAACTCTTCCTTCTGTCCTCGTGCACTTTGCTCTCAACTCTCCATCAATTGACAGCCTGTTTGAAGAGCCAACAATCTCCCCACATTTATCCAGGACGTTTTCCAAACCACTGTCTTTTAGGGACACAGAGATGGTCCTTTGCAGGGTAGATGCTGATATGAAAGTTGCCTAGCAACTACCAACATGTTCTGGGCACAATCGGTGTTGAAAGGTCTGTTTGCCGCTCATCCCTCTTCTGATTGACACATGGAGGAATTCCACTACACAGTTCTTTAGTTTGTTTTACTTCCCGTGCAAAAAGCTCTCTACGTCATCATACAGTCTCGCCCTCTTTGGTCTAACTGACCGCAGCACCCAGCAGTTTTAGGGGTCAGGGGTCAACGCACACTGGAAGTAAACAGAGTTGTGTCAACTGCGTTAAAATATCTTCACAAATGCAGTGCGATCCACAAACAAGTAGAAAGATCGATACACAAATACATTCATGCTTTGGGATATATTTGTGAATCTTTCTGTGTGTGTTGAGAGATCTGACCCCATCAATTAGCCTGACTGCTTGTGTGTCATAACGAAAGAGGACAAAGACAAATACACAAGGTAAGTTGTATTTGAAACCCTTTTTTGGAACTTTTCTACAATCCCACTATCATGATGTGACTTTACACGATGAGTTGTATCATTGAACTTTGGTACTTGTGATATTATGAGGAAAAAGTAATTTTTCTTGCTCCTTCCATGATGAATAAACTACATAGAAATGTATATTTATCACTCAGGCCACCCTTTATTTCATATGGTGCCGCACTAAGGCCAGCAGTCCTGGAAGTACCCATTGTGACATGAATATCAAATTGTGTGTGTGTACGTGTGTGTGTGCGTGCGCATGTGACGAGAATGAAGACTTGGGACAGGTTCTGCGTTATTATCAGCACTTTTAATAATTACTCAGAGGCACAAATACAATTTACAGGGCTAGCTTCCTCTATATGTGGACCCACAAGTGACTTCTTGTTCCAGAACGCGAGGACGACTGCGGACAACAGCACAAACATAGCGGGGCCGCACTGGAACGAACACACACACACAGCTTTTTTCTCTCCTTTAGTGAATCCACATGTGACGTCAGTTGGAGCAGTGTGATTTTTATCTCCATGTGTTCACCCGGGTAACCTACAAAATTACAGCTGTGGTACACTGCTGAACATCCTCTTCACCTCCCAAAAACCTCTGGATATATTTTGCGTGATCTGTTTTCTTCACATATAGCTGCTTCAATCGAACTCAGTCACCAGCAAACAAAAACATCTTTAATGATTTATTCCAATGTTTCAAACTATCTTTTATTTACACAGCACTATGTTTAAAATCTTTGGCCACTAAAAAATAAAACTGAACAAAGGAAGCGAAAATGGTTCCAACTCCAGTTTCAAGGGATAGTTCTCTTATGTTATATATTAAATATGATATCATTGATACTTTCTGAACAGGTTTACCTGAGAACCTTCAGTCCTGTGTGTTACTTTCTTTCAGGTAACAAAAACACATAGAAACTGGGCATTCGCTGCTGTGTACGTACACACACACACACACACACACACACACACACACACACACACACACACACACACACACACACACCGCATCTCTCTGCCTCCTTCCACAGGAACGAAAAAGAACACTTAAAGTAACAGATGATCAACAATGACGTAACAGAAACTACAGGGCAACTAGGTAGTTACAAGCAAACTAAACACAACAAAAACAGCGATGTTTCAGAAGGGACGGTCAGAAGTTCTCCGCTTTCTGCTTTAAAAAATACTGCACGGCTAATCTGAAAAAAACAACAACTGTGGAGGGACACGAGAAAAATAGTTCGAGTTCAAATCTCTTAAGTTGCATTTGCTCAATTAATCATTTCCTAAAAGTGAAAATTGTGCTAAACATTTTTTTTCCAGCTGTCGTTGAGACGGATTAGTGATACCTCCACAGTTTTCCACAGAGTCATTTTGGCACTTTTCTCCTACACATGCTCATTGCAATGAATCTACTCAAACTGGGACTCAAAGTCTGGGCTCATGAGTTATAACAACTTCCCCGTCTCATGTGAGCAAAGTGTCAAGTGGACCGGTAGGATGCGTCACTGCAGGCGATGGAACCGGGTCGAGAGTACGCAATGAATAAAGCGCTGAGTGCAAAATCAACAGTGCTGTTGCTATATGGCGATATGGGCAAAGTTGCACGAGTCAGTTTGTCCCTTTACATTTTAAACTTTGCTAAATGATGACAATGATGCGGGCAGGTTTGACGTGAGCCAATCTGCTTTGTCATAAAGCTACTGCATGCTGTGAAACAGCCCTGGGATGTCAAAAAATGTCCCACCTACTTCAGTCACAATGAGTATGTATACATGTGCGTTTAATATGTCATTATATAAAGCTGACAAAGGGTCCTAGAGTATATACCATGGCTCTTTTCCCTATTCAATGAGTGTTCTTTAGCCCCACATCTGGAGCACATGGTGATACAACATGTGGCGCACGTCCTCCCAGCGGGTCCTTCACTAAATCACTGGCGAGGATGACCAGCACAGGATACCGGGCCTATTAAAGGGACGACCTCAAACTAAAGACGTGACTGCCCTGTCCTGCAACAGATGAAAAGTAATTTCAAATGAAAGCACTGAGCACATGCCGTGATGAACGACACCAAAGTGCATCTGATCCAGTATTCAATAAAGCCGATCTGACACCTCACTCGTCTTCTCTCGGCACGCTTTCTCTAAGGACGTTTGTCCTGAACATCTCTTCAGCTTTCCAAAGTGCAACACAAAAGGGTCACATCACAGCGGCACACACATTCACTCCCTTGCTTTCTTTAGGGGAGCGCGGCGACGTCGACACAAGAGGGAAAAAACACAAAAATGTAACAGAATAGTTTTTTTTTTTCAGCAATAAAAGAACAATGTTAAAGTGTCTATGCTTATCTTCCACATGTGGTGGGTGGGTGGGGTTCTGTGGCCCACGGTGGACACACTGTGCTCGCACTCTCAGTAAGTCCTTCATCCGGGGATCCTTCAAGTCACCTGTCAATCACGAATGGTCCCACCTTACAAAAAAAAACCCACACGTCCCTTCATAACAACCTAAATTAGGCTTTCTCCCTGGAAAAATGTCCGGTGACCGGTCACCATGGCAACTCCCCACGTGTGCAGGGTTGGGCATGAGAGTTGGGCTTTCGTTTGTTGTGCTTAAGAGTAGATGGTGATGACTTCACGGCCGCCGCCTCGTACCAGAAGGACCCGGTTCAGACCCTCGAGGAGAACCTCCAGGAACTCCATGTCTGAGAAGATGGTGGTCAAGAAACTAAACAAAGCAGTAACAACAATATATTATCATCTTTAAAGGTCAATATAGCAAACGTGTTAGCAAACAGTAAGTGAGCATTCATTTAGAGTCGGGCTTAACTTCTTATAACTGTTCTGTTTTAAAAGGCAGGGGTCTCGGGTGCTTAAAAGGATACAGTTCTCGTCCCCTCCTCTGTTTCTGGGGGGTCCGGGCATGTTCAGCAGAACCAGTTGAGCTCCCTGCGACTTGTTGACCACAATCTCGTTCAGCTTGACAGCCGTGTGCATCCGGCGGACATTTGACTGGTTCCTGGTTCGGCCAGAAGGTCACAGTGAGGGACAGAGAACACTACAGCCTGAGGGACGTCAGTGATGAGCAGCAGAGATGATAGCAGTGGGTAGCTTTCCCAACTTCAGGAAAATGTCAAACTGGACTACAATAGGCCTTCTTCAGAGTCTACACAACCCGTACCACCAAAACGGTCCAAAGTATTTAAGTCTATGGTTCTGTATTTGTGCTTTATAATGTACTTATGTGCTACCTCTATGCTACCGCTCGCTGTCTCAGCTCTCTAACCAGATGTCTCTCACTTTCATTGTCTTTAAAAAAAATATGATTCAGGAAGCAGAGAGCAAAGCCTAACTTTGCTTTTAATGTCACATTGCTGCAAACCACACAGAAGGTTCAGGTATGTATTCCCAAGGAGTTATTCCCTGAAAAGGCACTAGAAACTTTATTTACAGGACAGCTGGAAAAAGCAAAGTGCTGCTTTATCCAGGATTTGAATTTAAGCATCACTAATATACTGCGTACTTCAAAAGAAACTGCCAGTACAGTACATTACCATATATGTTAATACATAAATCAGTTTTAGGCAAAGCATTCTGTATTTTAGCCAGGCAAGGTTAGGCGCTGAAACGGGTTGTACTCACAATAAAGAGGCAGCATCTACACACAGAAGGGACATGCAGTATCACACCTAATTGTCATGTCCATACTGGTGTTTATTATTGATTTGCGTGTCATAATCTAGTTTTGTATTCTCCATACTGTAGTCTTTCAATCCAACTGGTTTTGTTTATCAATAGTTCATTAATTGTACAACTCAATGTTGCCTCTTTATCGTCACCTCAACAATTTAAGATTGAAAGCAATAAAAGAACATGAAGTTGACAGCCACAAGTCATTTAACATGAACAAGACAATTTCACAAATTTCTGCTTTCCATTCTACTGATGAACAAAATTTTTGATTTTCTTGCCGAGACTAATATTTGTGTCGTATTTGCTCATCCCTTTGAAAAAAGAAAATGGAAAGCACAAAGTTGCTCATGAATACAAACCACGTCTTCAATAGGACAAACAAATTAAATTGATGGAGGCATTCCGCCAACATACTGTTACTCAGAAGACACAAACAAGGGCACAGACACACATACAGGTCCGAGCACACTGAACAAAAAGCCACAGTCACCAGAGCGACACACACACACACACACACACACACACACACACACACACACACACACACACACACACACAGATGGCCTAGAGCAAAAAGAAGGCGACTTACAGACTCTCCCACTCTCTAGAAGGAGAAAATGGGACAGAACAACAGAAACAGGCTTAGATGCTTCCTACGTCAGCTCTCTCCACCACAACACATGCTTCCTACTGTCCCAAACCGCACGTACTGTCACCTGAAGGAGACCACTGAAAGCCCCCCAGGACGACACATGGAACTGTTTGACGTCTATGTTGAGGCTAGCCTCAAAGAGTAGCCACCGTTTCTTCTCTTTTTGTGCGACGTGTGTGAGACGATGTTCTTTACAGTGACTCTATAGGACGCTGCAGGTGGACTGGAGCCCACCTGAGGAAGTCCACACACCGAGTATGGACCAGACTGTGTCGGAAGTGGGAAAACATGAAGTGAAGCCCAAACATCTTGCCCTCCCTCCCCCCGTTGGCTTGCTGTATTTTAGCTTATGAACCCCTTTTCACTGAGAAGTTTATTCTGAATAAAATAAGATAAGATGAGAGAATCCTTTATTAGCCGAGGAATCCACAGGATTACTTTGTGCTGTAAAAGTTAGTTGGAGGCTCAGGAATTATACAAGAGATATATATTTCAAACATTAAGATCTTTATAGGATCTTCTCTTTACGAAGCTATCAATATACAGACTTTGGTCTGACACTGCTAACATTTCTACGGCACTAAAGTTGTCCTTTGTATGTTCATATCACGTCGCAGATAACCTTTCCCCTAATCACAGATTTGTCTTCATAAAATAAACTTTCATCATAAATGTTTTTAAAGAGCTAATTCAGCCAAACAGCCCTCATATCACTTTCTCTAGACGAGTCCAGTAGCTAGGTGGCTAATGTTAACTCACTGCAGTCGTGCGCATGACCTATTGCGGGTGTACAGATGGGGACCTCAAAGCCGCCGGCTCCCGCTCCCCCTGGTCGCTACTAAAGGCTCCCAAATGACCATCCCCCGTAATGGGAAGTATTTATGGTGTCATCCTTTTGCAAACGAAGGAAGAGGCAGACACGTCGTCTGTCTATATACTTCTCTGGTGAGGACAGTATGGGATGAGGGGGTGTTAGTCCAAACAGCAGCATGGTGTGTGATCTGCGTGGTCTGGCCATGCTCCAAGACTGAAATTGAAGTGAAAGTGCACACCAGATGAAGGTTTCTGCCGTGCTCAAAAAGAACAAATACTCACGGCTTCATGTTGAACAGGTCGCGCACGGCCACGTTGGCGTTGCACTCGCGGTTGCGGTTGCGCTCCAGGAACAGCTTGTCCTTGGTCCAGGTCATGTGAACGCGGTCGGGCCCGACTTCGGCCTTGTCATTTATAGCGGCGTGAGACGCCGTGTTTCTGTCGTGGATGAGCTGGGCCTGGAGCGGAGGGAGAGGGAAGAATGAGGAGACCCAGTATCTCTCCAGAGGAGGGAAAAGATCAAACACAAGGAAGCAGGCGGTAGCTAAACTCCAAGGGGTCAGAGAAAAGGGAGCTTGAATTAACGCAGAAAGACAAAATAACTGACGGAGGGACATAGATAGGAAAAAAGGTGAACAGAATAGAAAAAAAACAAGATGAAAGAAGAAATTTCCTGTGAAATGAAAATGAACTAGACTAGGAGGGTGAGGTATGATGTACAACCACCCTTTTCCAATCACTTACAGGGCTTCCAAAGATTAATACACATGCTCAAAGTAAGTACCCTAACACAGCCGATTGCGAAGAAATAATACAGCACAGCAGAGTGGGATTCACCACATTATTTTTATTAGAATAAAGTGTCAATGTCATTGTTCATTCTGTACACAAGACATCCATTGTAGTCTGTCCATCCCAGGAGAGGGATCCCTCCTTTGACATTCTCGCTAAGGTTTCTTCCGCTTTTCCGGTGCTGATGTGAGGGTTTCGGGACAGAGGATGTTGCATGTGTACAGAATGAATTGAATTGAATGTGAACACTTACATAAGGACAGACAATGAGAATACATGATGGGGTTAATATCTCCCACCATAAAGATATGGATTATGGCTGCTGTCCATGCTGGTACCAATTCATGTTCAATAAATGTGTCTTGGTAAAACATGGCTGGCTGACTAGGTTATTTAGATTTAGAAAATAGATTTAGGTCTCAGTTGTGCTTAAAAGACATGCAGGTGAGAGGTGGCGTGGTGTACAACATGCACATTTCTTTTCATGAAGGATGCCTGTTCGGCAGCAACTGGAAACATCAACCTGCTATGTCAGTGTCTTGGGTAGGGCAGCGGTTAGGAGAAGGGGGGCGGTGGAAGAAGACTAAATAAAATCAACCAAAAGAGAGTACAGTATTGTCAAATCAGAACTTTGAATGTTATCGCTCCGGGTTGACAGCCTGTGACTTTGTAATGCTCAATAATAATTAACACATCCCTATGTTGAGGTTTCTGAGACAATACTGTCCACTCGTTACACAGGGAGGGGAGGGGGGGGGGGGTTATGGAGTGATGGGGGAGTTCAGGCTGGACCGTTTCAGGGTGCAATGGGCTGGTGTTCACAAAGCAGCTCTCGGTGACCGCAGTTGGAGGTGCTAGTGTAGTGAGTCTGGACTTCAACTGTCGGACGTGCAAGGTGGACGTCATCTGTAGGTGTGACCCAGCTTCTCGTTCTCTAGGACTGAGCCTATGGCATCTGCAGGCCGTATATAATAAAAAGGATTTGTACTTCGGGGCTTACTGGGACGGTCCTCCAGCTGCTTTCTACGCAAGCCGACTATTCAGCTTAAGCTGTGATGTAACACAGCAACTCATCACCTAAGTACCCAGTGGCCGTGTGTGGCATGCACATGAGCCCATTCGATGGATAAGACCACAGACAGGTCAAAGAGCACAAAAGATTATCCAGAGAGCAATGCCTTACAGAAAAGAAATCATTTTTGCTTACTGGGTTATACTTCTAATTCCAAAAGGCCTGTCTTTATATAGTTTAATAACTATATAGGATATAAATGTATAACCTATTGCCCAAAGCAGTACTAGTACTCTCCTTCTACATCTTTCCTTCCCCCTTGGATTGATTATACTGTATATGCATTATAACCCAGAATATCAGGGTTAAAATTGAGGGCAGACTGGAAACCATGACGGTGCTATGCCTGCAGCCAAAGATCAAGCTTTGTGAAGACGGGTTTGTGCGTCTAACAGCGAGGGACAAGCAGGTTGACAACATCCGCTACCTCGTCCTCTTGAGTGTCCTCCGCCGCGGAGGTGGACCGGCTGCGGGTCGTGCTCGGAGCGCCCTGGTTCTTCCTCCGGATGGAGTTACGCGACTCGTCAGTGATACTCTGAATCTGAGCGTTGCGGCCCAGAGAGGCGATGGCCGACGAACAAGGAGGGGGGCAATTGTCATATAACGCAACGGCAGGCTAGATTTACTACAACACTGTTTGGATCCTACTATGTATTAATTCATGGACATGATGATGTTGAATCTGACCAGCGTCATATTGAAGCAACTCAGATTTAGTGATTACACTTTCAAACAACATTCAGTAACAATAAAGGCCTTCCTGTTGAAGTGTGTTTATGATTTCATTTCATTAGTAATTATTTGAATGCGCTCGTGTTGATTTGAAATGCGGCTGCAGCGACAAAGTGGCCCTGATTGCAGTGTTGTGTTTCAGTAGATGTGCCTCACCTCTCTTTCCCTCTCGGTCCTGGAGAGTTGCATCTGTTTGAGCATCTGAGACCTTTGCTCCATCACAAGCGTCTTCTCGTAGGTGAAGGCCGAGATGTCGTTATCGTGCTGCACAAGAGAGGACAAAAACAAAGTTGATTACACACACACACCCATACACTTATTCAAAAAGAGAGATATAAAGCATTGGTGGAGGAAACCTCCTGCCCTTTAAGAGTAAAATATGTCCCCGTTAAGAGTAGGAAATATATTGTGATCAAGGAGTAGTGCATCGACCAACTTTAGCTGGTAGAGAAACTGTTTTTCTTGTTTTACCTCAGAATCTAAATGTGTGATTTGTGTTGCAAATATTGAAACATATAAAGCCACAGCGCGAGAAGACCCTGGCCTTGAATCCAGTTCAAGACGAAGTGCAGTTTGCTATTCCATCAGTCAAAGTCTCACCATCTCCACCACTTCCACCTCTGCATTCAGTCGCAGGTGGTAGAGGAACATCTGGAGATCCTTCTTCATTTGGATGCTGTTATCGTCCATCTGAGCCACGGTGAAGATGCGCATCTTACACTTCCTCCACACCTGGATGACCAAAACACAGCGTTGTTATGGAAGAAAGTGGAACGGGAGTCAGAGGGGGAAAGATGGAAGGATTAACGAGAGAGCAGGGGGGGGGGGGTGGGGGCGAGGGAAGATATTCTCAAAAACTGTGTAAAAGAAGGGTTCTGGACGAGAGCATGAAGTCAGGAACTACAGAAACGATATAATGACTTGTGGGTGTTGAAGGTATCTCAAAGATATAAACTGACCTTGTGCTGCCGCAGAAGGAAGGGCAGCAGCATCAGCATGCCTCCATCGTGAACCACCCACCACACGTCGATGGTGCCCTCCCCCAAGCGCTCCAGGTTGGTGGGGAAGCTGTCCACGTTCTTAGCCACGAGCAAGGCATGATGAGCTGCTGTGGACTCCCGCACCGTCTCTGGATGGACAGAAGGAAAGTGTTGTGGGTACGACCTGGTACTGATCACCTCTATCTATGGTGAAATTAAAACCCTGCAGACTGATTGGAGTGACACTGTGCCCTGTACAATGCTACACAACAACCAGCCATGCTACCAACTAAAGCAGTCACACATAAGTTATTGCAATTTCAACAAAAAGCTGTAGCTATGCAAATGTGCAGTAAATGTATCAATACTTCCAGTGCATTTTCTAAATCAATTTGGATAGAATTTTGAATGCTCTTCCGATTAATGCGCCTCTCTACCTACAAATGTACTCGATTCATATTTGAGGGGTCTCATGCTCAGTACCTATGAAATTCTTCCATGACTGTGGGTCGTTGGCCTGCCTCCAGGTGCCGGGCCAGGCCATGAGGATTGTGTTGTGCTTCATGCCTCCCAGCCCCGCGGACTGGATGAGGTGGGAAACGCCGTCTCGGAGGTTTGAAGACACCACGACGTGGCAGAAACCCTTTGTTCGCTCCTCCGACATGGCCGACTTTATGTTCTGGACCGAAAAGATAGAAAACATAAAAACAATAACCATTCAGCAATGTCCCTCATATCCACTCAGGAGTAGTCATGCTGGCAATGCCCATGGATGAAGCAGTAAATGTAATCTCAGATTTCAGCTTCTGTAACAGATGGTTTTGGAGGAAAGGTAGGCCACGGATTCAAATACTTTTGAAGTCATGGTCTTATCAGTTGCACAAAACAATGCATGAAAAGAATACCTACACCATTTGGCCAGTAGATGGTAGAGTTCACTCACAGTCCGCATGTCTAATGCTTCCTAACTGTTAAAATCCTGACTGACACAACGGATTTGCTTTAGGGCACCAAATATTGTAAACACAAAGGAAAAGGCACCATATACCATTTTGTGGATTTGAACTGTAATTCTTTGCAATAAATGAGCAGACAATACATAAAGTAGTAAAATAACACAGTTGTTGTTTTATCAGAAACTGCGTAGTGCAGATGAATGATGAATTTGCTGCATGCTGCAGTACAAATCCCCATCATACCTGCTCAGCCTTCCTGGCCTCTGTGTCTTTGGTGAGATAGGTCCCCTCTAAAACATTCCCCACTATGGTGAGGCCTTTCCCTGCCTTCAGCTGAGTCGTGAGGGACAGCAGACGGGGGTGTTTGACTCCTTGATCTGAGTCAACATTCAGGAGCACCAGCAACTGAGGCCTGCAGACATCGAGAGGGCGATTGGGCGAGAAGGCAGAGTTAGAACCCTGTGAAAAGCGAATTGTTGCCGACTATGCAGGGCAACTGAGCACAGTCACCTTCAATAGAACTGTATCAGTATCATCGCAAACATCACATCAGGCCACACTGAGCGAGACAAGGAAAGGGGAAGAAACTGGTGTTTTGGATAAGCATGGGCAGCCAGTGCGGTCCTTCTGTACTGTACGCGCTGTCAGATTAGGATTGAGAGATTACTCAAATTCTCCCTCTGTCTATTTCTGTCTCTTTGGTTGGGCGTAACACAGACCGGTGGCACTGAGTCAACTCTGACCACACACAGCCACTTCCCTGTACTCCTATCTTTGTGGGAACCCTCGTTGACATGACGCATGAATTCTAGACCCTTACCCTCATTTTAACCATCGTTTGATGCCTAACCTCAAACTTTACACTGACAAATATCTCACGACCAATTTGCTATTGTTCTTAAGATTACGCCTCAGGGGAGGGGTAACGGACAATATTTTTACAGCCCGCTGATATCCAGGTCGAGGGTTATTATTTGCAGTCTGATTAGCAATCTGGGACGCAATCATGCAGTTTGAGTTGAGCAATGGCGTGTACGAACGGATGGTTTCACAAGTACAAAATCATTTTCAGACGATACACGGCAAACTCTCAACTTGCATTTTACTTAACCCCGCTCAAACCTGATTGTAGCTCCAGGAGTATCGACCAAACGGGAACCAGAAAAACTTCTCTTACTATTCTGGATTCATATGCAGAAATCTGTTTATTGTGATCACCGTGACCCTAACCTAAACCTAAACCGCAATACTAAGCTGTGACGTTGAAGCAGGTGAATTCACCGCCCAAAAATCTGCTAGTTAACACCGTGTTCAGGACTCGCAACGTAAAACGCACAAAAGAAACAGAAACAGACACACACACAAACACTCAACAAATTGTACCTCCAGTTCTTTGTGTGCGGTGGAGCCTCCTCGAGGCGAATGAGGGCGTAGCGTGCCGCATTGAGCGACAGGCCACGGATGCCGTCTCCCCACTCCTTCTCTGCCCTGCAGCAAACAAAGGATGGACCAGAAATTATCCACACAAAGAAGCAGCAACTAAATGAGTACACTCAAGGATTGTGAAGAACCAAAGCCAGTGGATGTTTCTCCGTCTCACACTGGTGTCACACCTGCTGGTATAATGGAGTCCTGTGTCAAAGCTCATTTCGTCGAGTCCCTTGGATTTATGAGAACATTTTTGGTTGCAGTATATAAAAAGTCATTTCAGCAGCTCAACTTGGTATCATCCAAGGGGCCTTTTGTTAAGTTTCACTTTAATAACCTAATCTGAAGGATCACACAGTGTTCTCACAGGCGGAGACAAACTGCAGTAAACTCATTTTAGAATGAGGTGGGTGATCCTCAATGGATGTTCACTTATTATGAAAAGAAAGGGAACCTTGTTGTTCTTCCTTCTCCTCAGTAGCTCAGGTGAATTCTGCATTTAAAGCAGCATATTATTGTTTTCTATATTTCTTGATATTTTTGAAGTGCAGGTATATCAAGAAATATCAAGACAACACCTGTATGTATCTTGAAGCATTTTATTCTCTCTTTATAATATTTCATCTTTAAATTAGTTTATTTCCCCTTTTCACTCCACACCGATAAAAAAAAAAAACACAGCATAACATACACAGCCATTCTTACCCTCTGTATTCGATGTACTTATAGATGCAGGTAGCGATGGCCATGGCCACAATAGCATAATACCAGGAGCAGATGAACATGAGGGCAAGACACAAGCTCATTCCCAGGAAGGACAGAGCCCTTCAGGAGGAAACACACACAAACACGTTAGCGCAGCTGTAGCTAATGTTTGCTGAGGACATGAGATCACTCAAATCCTTAACCTGCTTAAAATTTACATTTACAAAAGATTGAGCTCTAGAAAGAGCATCTTTAAAAAATAAACATAGGTCCCTGGGCTATTTTAGACATTATAACGTAGTACAGTTCAATATTGAACCTTTAAAAATGCCTGAGAGATCAATGAAAAGTGAGTGAAAGTTCAAAGTAACTTCGAAGACTTTGCTAAATTCAATTTAGTATTAGTAATTTCCTAAAGATTCTCTTCTTTCAACGTGGGAAAGTATATAAATATAAATGATATACTTGTGGGACAGAATAACTCATGACCCACCAGTGGTAGAATTTGAAGCGGGGTCTCCAGTTGGGCGTCCGCAGCAGGGTCTGCAGTGCACAAGCCAGGTTGACAAACAAGTAGCACATGAGGAAAAACCTGCGGCGGGACGAAAATAAATAATAAATAAATAAGACAAATGCTCAAGGGATCTGCTGATCTGGTTTAATGGAGAGACGGCAAGTGACTTGTCAATGCCAACAGATACGGACATGGAGAGGATCGGGGCCACGGCGTCCAGGGAGGCGATGAGGATACCGATCTCACAGATACCCGCCGTGAGCAGCAGAGCCCAGGTGGGTTCTCCGTTAGCTTTCCCATGGCCGAACACCTAAAACAAGTCAAGTGTGACATTAAATATGCAGGTACATCAGGCTGAGGGCGACTGATCGTATTTTTGTCGACTGCGAGTGCCTGACCTGCAGGAAAGGTACGATGCCGTCTCGCGCGATGGCCTGTAGCAGGCGGGGGGCGCCGGTCAAACTTTGCAGCCCCGCCCCGCAGCAGGAGAAAAACGAGCCAATCACGATGACCCAGGGGGATGGCCACGATAGCGTGCCTATTACGAGGTTACCCTTCACTGAGTCACCAAATCTGCAATCAAATGCAAAAAAACAACAATTCAGCCATTTATCATGTCGGTATGTTAACACCATTTCAATTCACTTTAAAGGTCTGCTGATAATATTATTAATTCCTTTGAAAAGATCCAAACCAATGACAAACAATGTATTTTTTTAAACTGACCACTTGTAACATGTCAAGAGGAGTTCATTTTACTTTGCTTCAAATATATTTTCAAATAACGATATAAAGGCCTTTTGTGAGAGAGGGAGAACTAAGAAACGGTCTATTGGATATTTTCTGTCTACTTTTATTATTCTTTATTTTTTGAAGTGACCCAAAAGAGCAAAGTGATCAAAATTAACTACAATGTGTGTTCATTATGGGTACAAATAAAAGTAACCCAACCTTCATGGCAATGAAGGAGCATGGCAACCAGTGCAACAGTGTGGCTGATCTGTTTTGATCAGATTGAGTTTTGGGGCAGCAACAGAGCTCTATTGAGAGAGGCAAATTACTTAAATGGTTTAACTTTACTTTCCAGAACTCAGGATCTAGCTGTGCTTGCGATGGTACACCGATCCATTCACATGGACTCAAAATATTTGTAAGGAAAACGTCTGAACCTTTTTTGATGAGGGCATTTAGCGACTACATAATCTTATCCATCTCCCCTTAGGATACTAAAACAGAAGAGGGGAAACACAACCGACACGATAGGATGTGTACGGATTTTTACTTCAGATAGCGTATGAAAACACATTTTCTTTCATACTTGACACAGATTCTCTTACTTGTCTCGAAGCAGAACTCCCTCAATGCTGGCACCGAACAGAATTACGCAGGTGACGTCTGGAAAACACTGTTTAGGAGAGTAAATTACACCAATGGGCCAGTGAGTCTTTTTACATCGCTGTAAAGCTAAAAGGTATACACACTACCCACAATCCTTCAGGTGGTACCTGCTCTCTACCATTAGGCCATTTGGCAGACTTTCAATCTTGTTCCAATGGTAACTCTGCCAACTTATAAACCGTGTAGCTATTTCTGGTATGGCATATTTAAACCCACAGCTGTAGCCACAACTTTCTGATATAAGCTTTAAAAGATACAGATGAAGGAGGTGGTGGTAATAGCCAAGATGGTTCCGATTGGGATGGACTTCTGAGCATCCCGCAAGTCACCGGACCGGTTTGAACCAGCCATGATACCTAAAGATTGGGGGTGGAAGGGGAGGTGGGGGTCACAACAGAAAATCTTCAGATATGAAACAACTTTTGGTCAGTTTTGATAACAATGTGTGTGTGTGTGTGTGTGTGTCAGTCTCACCAGTGACAGACGGGAAGTAGATGCCGACCAGCAGCGTGAAGAAGGTGGTGATGTCGTTGACCACATAGGGCAGGTACTTGTCCTGAGCAGAGGCGCCTACACCAACTGATTCCAGCTTCTTGTCATCCACCAACTTACCCAGAGGGCCATACACCGACCACATGTTTTCTACAAGAGACAGGACGCAGCAGTCAAGCAACTGGTTGTAGGTAAAAAGAGGCTATGGTCTTCCATCATAGCCTTGATGTTCACTACAGCTCCACTCTTTAGCCCACTTAACCAGAGGAATAGGACGGAATCCAACATGTCACTAATCTTTTTTTTTTCCTGTTGTCATATTATATTCATGTTATATTATGACCCTTATGCAGGGTTTAGAGTAGTTTATCATCACAGCCGTTTAAGATTTTGGAAGGGTGGGCATGGGAGTTTTTAACAAACATCGTCTAAGCCACAAAACATATCTGGGTCCAGTATGATGGGCGGATAACAAAAACTAAAAAGGATTTTAGAAGGAAAAGGTCAGGGAGCCTATTAAAAAACAAAGTTTTGTGGCCACCACATTTGCACACTCCCTCGAATACCTCCAGAGCAAACGCTGTATTCCAACCTGAAATGACCTTGCTGGTCAGTCCAGGGATGCCCTGCATCTCGGTCACGTTGTTGAGGACAAAGTACTCGTTGCAGGTGGCGTTGAGCTCCGGCCCATCACAGAACAGCCTCCACAGCTTGGTGGTGACCGTCAGGTTGTCAATGATCTTCGTCTTTAAACAAGTGTCGAAGTTGTTGTTTTGCAGAGTGCGATTACCCAACATGCAAACACTGTGGTAAAGGACAGAGAACTTTCAAAACACGTCACAGATTAAATCTATCAAATGATTTATGGTCAACGAAATGATCACAAATTTAGTCTGATGCTATTTTTGTGTCACATGGAAACTGTTGGCAGTTATACAACATCTGAGTTTATCGCTTGGACTCACGGGAAGTCCGGTGGCTCAAAGATGGTCTTAATGACACCGGCGTAGATGGAGAGGATGGAGAGAATGACGCAGGCCAGGAAGACCAGCGCAAGCTTGTTGACGTACTTCACCCCGACAAAGACGACCACAGACATCAGCGCGAGGCAGCAAGTGCCGTAGACGCGCATGTTGTTCAGCAGGGCGTTGACCTCGTCCTCCTTTTTCTCGGCCACAAAGATGGCTGCTTTGGGCACGATGTAGGTCTGTGTGGAGGAGGAGGAGGAAAAAAGACGTAGGCGCTGGAGACACAGTAGTAGACGATGGCGGCTTCTCAGAAGCAGTTGACGCAGTGTTCACTCACCAGCAGAATCTCAATGGTACCAAGGATGTACATGGAGCCCGCGAAGGTCGTTCCCAGGTAGAAACAGAGACCTACAGCTCCACCGAACTCAGGGCCCAGAGATCTGGAAATCATGTAGTATGAGCCTCCAGCTGGAAGAGAGTGAGGTGGAGCATCGTGGGAGTGAGAAGAATGAGAGAAAGGACAATTCTCTGAGCGGACACTGGTCATCTGGACTAAGATTTTCTTTTCAGTGTGCTGCTCATTGTTTAGTCAAATTAGCAACATGACGTGCAAGACAGCAGTTGAGAGATTATGTCTGAGTACCAAAGCGTTTTACCTGGCACAACGCCATTGGTAGCAATTGCACTCATGGATATGGCCGTCAGCATGGTCTGTTGACAGAGGACAGTAAAGAAGAAGGCATGAGAACAATGCTTATGTGACAATAATTATTTCAAGTCTCATTTTTTCATGGCTACCTAATAATTCCATTATAATTAAGAATTCATTTTCTGGATTTCTCAGACAATAGGGAACTTGGAGGCCTTGGTCTGGAATAAATCCAGTCACAAGTTCCATGAGGGGATTTTGTTCTAATCTTTCGGATTTGTAACGGATATAAGCTTTTCCCATAGTGATTCTGTGAAGTCGGAAGAGGATATTTAAAGCACGTCCAGACGACGGGTGGGGCGAGGAGACGAGATGAGAGGCACAAAGAACAGGAGAGAGAGAAAGACATGAGGACATTTAAAGGGTGTAAGAAAGAGGTATAGGAGAAAGCATGAAGGTGAGAGAACAGAAGACGAGGAGGGACAAGGACACGACCAAGATACCCCTTGTGCCGGGCGTCCAGTTAAAAAAAAAAGCAGACAAAATGGAGCAAAGCCAATTAGCTGACTAGTTTCCGCTTCCCCTGAAATGTAAAGCAGCTAAGAGCTGGCAAAGAGAAGTGCTGAAAAATACCTCAAGGTTGAAAAATTCCCATGTGGACACTGTTCTACCAGATTCTACGAGATTTAGTGGGTAGTAGAAGAAATTCAACCAGAGCCATATGCCAGTCAGACCAAAAAAAGGTCCAACAACCACACAGCTCAAAGATGACCAATACAGGTCATCCCTTAACAAGAAAATACGCATTTAATTTCATCTGGGGCCTCGTATTTCTTTAATGGTCCACCTGAAGCCAAACTGACAGAATCACACTGCCCGACATTTGTGACTGAATACATTTTCCAAATACAGCCCCTGGAGGGACAGGAGGCTCGTAAATAAATATTACTGATATTTATTGCTAAAACCCATGAAAACCGAACTCATTAAACAAGAAAACTAGTCCTTCAACGAACTATTTATTTTGAAAATATTGTTTTTGTGTTAACTTAATGTAGCCCTAAAAACTGAATCAGCAGGGCACAAGAATCCCAGATTTATTGTATATTTCACTATCATAACTGCAACGACATTTTCATCGTACATGTGGTTGTTCCTTTGATTTGATATTCAAGGCTGGGCCTAAAACTCTGCAGAGTGGTCCCAGGGGTCCTCCACTGACTGTTTATTCTAATAAACAAGATCTATTTAGTTTAATTTATTTGCATTCAAATAAAAAAAAAATGTGCTGCATGTTAGCGTGAGACTTGGTCTCATCTGGGCAAAGCTGACCTGCATCTTTTTATTGTGATTTCATTATTAGTTGTTGTTGTTACAACAAAACTGAAACACTTTGCATTGGCTTTAATGTGAACAGTGAAACAAGGATGGATAACTGGGTCAAGATTAATAAAGAAGAATGAAAACAAGAAGGTGAACACAGTAAATCATGTTATTGTTAGACATTTAGAGCACACAAAACCTGACCTATAAACAGGTAGCTGATGTGGAACCATCAGTGCAAAGTCACATGCAGCCTGAGCGGAGAAAATGAACATTAATCTGTTTGACTAAGCTTGGCTCTCTTGTTATGTAACGGCAGCGATGCAGTCGAGGGTCAAGCGCTTGATGCACTGCAGCTAGATTAGAATAAATGAAAATGGACTCTTTCAGGGAAAACTGTTTTCATAATAAGAGAATGAAAATACATTTCAGATTCCTTTGGAAATATTGTAAGTGAAACATCATACTTTTAGAAGTCTGCTATTTGGTGATATGTCTTGGACTGAGATACTGGAGTTTTATTTGGTACTTTTCCTGATTCATCTGAATTAATCTATTGTCTGCCGCGGGTTCGGCAAATATAGCCACCGTGTGTGTGCATGCCACTATGTTTCTGATACTTTGCAGACAGAGGGATTACACATCCCATTAGAGGCTGGGAGCGAATGGGAAATGGGGAGTCACAGTGGCTAAATATAGGAAGGATCAGTGACCACTGAGTCAACCTGCCTGTCACTCATTACTGCTGTCGGCCCAACGACTGCCATTCAAAGTTGCATCTGCCCTCCCCGCCCGCCAGGCACTAAAACACCCATGGAAACATTTTCCCCCGGGTGTGCTAATGCACTCGTAACACATCAAAGACCTGGATGTGTAGATTAAGCACTGCGCATTCTTACATAATTGTGCATGTCATTGCTCTAATAGATTCAAATCCTTGATAAAGGACACTTAATATCTCCGTCAGGGGTGTCAAACATATGGACCCCCCACGTGACATCAAAGTGGACAGTATGTGGCCCCATACCTAAAATTAGTTTTGACACCCCTGATCTACGTCAACGAGTGGAGCCGCACAGGTTCAAACCCTCCTCTCCGCTCCACTTTTTAAGATGTTTGTTAAAAAGCACGATAAGGCTAAATAGAGGGTTGAGACTCACACAGGAGCAGCACAAGAGGACAATAGCCAGGGACTCCAAGATGCCGGCAGTGCCTACAATCCAGGTGAGTCGCAGGAACAGGATGACCCCCAGAATGTTCTGGAGGCATGGCAGGTAGACACCCATGAAGGTCCCCATCTGAGGGCTCTGTGGAGGGGTCGGGGTGCAGGGAATGTAAAGTAAGCAGCAAAAAAATGGCATTAATCAAAATCAGCCGCTTTTTGCCACTGAAAATGATATTTTGCAGAGGTTGCAATGAATAAGACTGCGGATAAAATAGAATTAAAAAAATGTTTTTGTTTAGCCCAAATCTTTCATGTGTCGCTTACATCTCAGTTTAACATTTACACAAACCAAAACACTGACCAATACACAAAAAGAAAATCTATCAATGGCTGTGACACAAAAGAAGACCTTTGTACCATCTTGCTCATGATGTACAGTGCTAGCATTCTTTTTGCTTCAGACAAAGACGGTGTCTGAGTTATTAAAAAAATGACTGTTCCTGCGAGCTGATTGGAGGGTTACCGAAGCCACTTCTTTGTGGGGGGGACAAGATGGAGCAACTGGTATCGGACTGAAGTTATCTATGTGCCACATGTTAGTACGGGGACTACTTATTTTTTTCTCTGTGGGTAATTGGGTCCTTTTTAGTCAAACTAAATATAGCGATCTATATATATATATAGTTTTGTTATGTACGATTCTTCATTGTTTCATTTTGTTGATTTTGGCGCTCCCTGTGGACAATAGGGATGGTGTTTCTGTGCACCTAAATCCCTTTTGGGAGCTTCTCATTCTACAGCTCGCAGGATGTGACATTTTGCCCGTTCACTCCAGTTCTGCAGACCCTTCCCCTCCAGCGGGTACAGCAGTACGTCCTGGGTCTCGAGCAGAAGCAGGGGAGAAGCTCCCTCGGATTGTCTTGTTTCTTACTGAAGCTTATAAAGAGGTATCAGGAATCAGGAAACATTTATTAGCCAAAATATGTCAAACATACAAGGAATTTGTCTTGGCGGTGAAAACGAAGTGCACCGAAGCACCGTGGCGGCCATCAACGGCGCCATCTTGGATATTATCAGTATCAAACTGAGACCAGGTACAGGTTTCTCAGGAACTTTAAGGGTCCAATTACTCACTTACTTCACTTTCAAGAACAAAAGCAATAACTGAAGCAAAACAAGCTTACCAACTGGATTTGTACTTACTCGTACCCCCCAAAAAGATATAAATAAAACAATGGGGTTTCAAGGGTGAAGCCCCCCTCCCCCTCTTACCATTACGTAATGAGAGATTAGTGGGTTTTACAGATTTTTACCGTTATTATACAATTGTAGAGTGCCTAACCGTAAAACTCGCAGCTCTGATAAACCATCGCGTTGAGGCCCCATGCCTTACCTTGACTTCTTTTTTCTTGGGCCCCTCATCATTATCGGCCTCCTCATGTTCCTGGGCGCCCTGAGTGAGGTTAGTGTAGTTTGCCAGCTTGTTGAGGAGGGACGACACCATGGGATTTATTTCAATCTCATCCTGCAAAAAAGACAAAAATACCAAACTTTGACAATCCTCCATTGGTATTCCTTTAGCCCCATATAACAAGGAATTACAATTGATCAAATCCATTGTCCTCCTCCCCTATAGTCACTATAGATGCGATATTTGCCAAAGCACTTCACTTCGTTTTTGCAAACCTCGGATACAGCTGCATCCAGACAGAGGGGGGAAAACGATTAATTATTCACAAGCGCCTGTGACCACAGAGTGCAAAGGTCTGCCAAATGGCAGAGCAAAGCACCTGGAAAGAGTTCAACCAAGAGTTCTTGATGGAGCGCACCAGTATTGAAGGTGAGTAAACTCTTTGAATGACGCATTGCTGCGCTAAGAAAAGATTCACCTCCTGGTTTCTGTGCCAGGTTCTTTAGCCAGATTCTTCAGCATAGAAATTAGAGAAGAGCAGAAATAGATCTGTCTATTAGACTCTCTAGAGTCTAATTGCTGAGCAAATGTTAGTGAGGATTTTAAAAATGACGTAAAAATAAAATAAAAAGGAACGCACATTAACACGCCACTATAGACGACGCTATAGGCTGTAATCTACCATCAAACAGAGAAGGAGAGTAGAGTTACATTGGAACACAATAAATATATATAAACATATTTTGGGGGATTTTGGGGAGATATTATTTTTTCTTTCATGTCAGCTTCTATTGATCAAGTTTTTATGTAGCCTAGAGACAAAGACAATCTTTCACACATTACGGGCATAGAATTTATATAACAAGGGGACATCGGTTTGTGGACTACGACGCTGAAGCCTCTAGTTTGGTAATTTGGCCGTCTTGACTTGTTGCAACTGGTGACCAAGTATGGACTGTGAAGGAGTGACGTATACAACTCTAGTACTGGTAGAGACCTTTCAATCACAGGGTAGCCCTGTCCTAAAGCATACCCTGCTTTATATGGACCACAATGTGGAAACATAAACTCATCTTTACAATTGCACCGAAGGAGAACGTTTTAAGACACTCTTCCCTACGCAGAAGAAGAGGTTGCTTTTGGTTGATGCAGATAAAATACGGCCAGTGATTGGTCGGGGAAAATTGTGGCTTGAGCAACGTGTAACATACAACTTCACGCCTCAATGATCAAGGCCTCCATCCAGCGGAGAATGAAGCGGTTACCTCAAAAAGCGCCATGTTGGTGCCATCGTAGTTGTTGCCTTTGTCGTTGTCTGTGTTGTTAATGAAGGGACTGTTCTCCTTTGGGACGCCATCACCTGTGGAAACATGGCACAGTTATTTCCTCACAATAAATTAAGTTTACCATGTGGTGTAAACAAAGGAGAATAAGGTCGTTGACAGCAAATAAATACTTCACGTTTCCAATATCAGCAGTATTTGCACAAGTCCATCCATCCATCCATCCATCCATCTTCAACCGCTTATCCGGGGTCGGGTCGCGGGGGCAACAGCTCCAGCAGGGGACCCCAAACTTCCCTTTCCCGGGCCACATCTACCAGCTCTGACTGGGGGATCCCAAGGCGTTCCCAGGCCAGTGCAGAGATATAATCTCTCCACCTAGATTCCGTCTAGACCCCCCACTGTCACTGCCACCCTTGTAGCAGCGCACCCGACCCCATCGGTTTCCTCCACAGGTGGTGAGCCCATGGGGAGTAGAGTGTTGGGCTGCCGCGTCACTCCTTCGGGCTGTGCCCGGCCGGGCTCCGCGGTAAACCCGGCCACCAGACGCTCGCTGTCGGGCCCTCCATCTGGGCCTGGCTCCAAATGGGGGCCCCGGGCTTCCTCCGGGCCGGGTAACTCCTTCCCTCTTCCGTTTTTTCATGGGGGTCTTGAACCATTCTTAGTCTGGCCCCTCGCCTGAGACCACTTTGCCAAGGGTAACCCTACCAGGAGCCCAAGGCTCCCGACAACACAGCCCTCAGGTTCATAGGGACACACAAACCTCTCCACCACGATAAGGTGACGGTTCCCAGAGAGGACACACATTTGCACAAGTCAGCCTCTCAAAAGGAGCCTTTTCTTTGCGGACACATGTGTGCAGGTCTTTTCCTCATTTCACACAACCAATGAGCTTTGGCCCAGAAAGCACGTCCGATGTTCCATGATAAAATATCATAACAATGCAATACTTTGTGAGCGAACAATTTCCAAACCATTATCGGGTGGGGGGGGGGGGGGGGGGGGGGGGGGGGTGGTCACTTTGAAGGATGCCAAGCTCTTATGTCCATCGAAATGTTAATAATGCACATGAGGATGAGGACTTATAATATGCATTACTGAGCACTCACTCTCACTCACTCACTCACTCACTCACGTACATACACACTCACACGCACAGTTGTTGAGCCTGTCTGCAAATGGATAAATCCTTAGAAGCATATATAGTCCAGAGTATTTATTTGGGTTCTATGAAACACATCTCGGACTGTCTGTCCTTTGATTTTCTCCACAGCCGTTCATCAGATGAACTTCCCACCAGGCTCAGTGTGAGGTAGTCTGTCTGCAAGCAGCGACCCAGAATGCCGAGCAATTGACCCATTTTGAATCAGGTTATTGAACTGGTGCATGAATAAATAAGATTAATAATCAAACACATCATCATAGATATTATGTCAGTCATATACTTGAAAACATAATTTACTTTTTAGCTAAAACCAAATACTGGATTTCAGGACAGTCATATCTGACAGTAATCGTCCATCTCTCATACAAGTACGCCAAGTACTCTTTATGATTGGAAAATAATTTACGAGAAGCTTCAAAAATTGGCTCTCTTTACCAGCTCCCGCCTCGTGACCTCGTGGAAAACGGATATTTACATTTCAAACCAAACTACATTGATGTTCGTTAACGGTCACTTTTCCGTCTCCTGTCCTCTAAACTGGGGGTCTTCAACGTTTTTCAGGCCAAGGACCCCCAAACTGATGACGAGATGGAGCAGGGACCCCCTATTCTACAGAGTTTTGTCCGCCATCTTTTATTTTTGAGCTTTGCGCTTTTACGTGAGCATGAACGTGATCTGATTGGCTGGTACCTCTGCTGTCGTATCAGCATGAAAGGAGCTGTGAGTGAACCGGTGCCCAGCTTGAGAGAGCTGCTGTGGGAAGCTGGATGTGTGTTTTGCGGACTGAAAGATAATGTCTTCTCCACTAATTTGTTCGTTCGCTACAATATGTTGGAATTATGTTAATGTGTAACAATAAAGAAGACAATAAATACAATTCTGATTCTGAAGACATTTAAATTTGTGGGAAAAAAAATTGTCTTATCAACCAAAAATTTTGCGACCCTCCCTGCAGTACCTCCGCGGACCCCCTGTTGAAGACCTCTGCTCTAAACCAACAACAGCAGGAGTCACTAACCAGGAGTCAGTTGATAATTAAATTAATAACATTTTCTTATGGTAGAGTTATCATTTACCTCTGGAGTTAATTTATAAATTCATAAAATTGACGACTTTTTGAATAACAAATCCTCAAATTCTGCTCTCAAACAAAACTAACAGAATGATTCACATGTATTAACCACTTTGTAAAAAGATTGCAACCTTTGCAGATTCCCTGCCTGCCCAAAAAAGAATGACGTCAGGGTTAGATTCAGGACCTTCACTTTTAATGGTTAGACCTCTTAAACACTTTCCAGACTCAAGTTCTCGCCCGGTAAACGCCATAATAAAATTATTTGAGGTACTGTAAAATGCAGGTTATAAGCCAATATAAGCCGGCTAAAATAAGGGTGAGGTTGATTTTGGGATTTATTCCCATATTCATGGTCATCCCCAGAAATAAAGACACAAGGTAACATGTTTGACACATGTTTTTAACTAAAGGCTATCGACGTGGCCATTGAAAAGGAGAACCAAGCAGCGGCACTCAAACTTGGGATCAACAATTCCATTGTTAGACGTTGGAGACTGCAGCAGGGAGAACTCGCAAGATCTGTATCAGACGACGCAGCAGCAGGAACCATGACCCAGCATGCCCCAAATTTGTCCGACAATGAGGCTGAGGTCATTGAGCCCCAAAATGGGGCTGGTGGCTTTTTTATATTTAGTAGATGCGGCGTATAAAAAGGTTTGCTTTTTATGCCACGTATTCCATATTCTGTTGATTTGCTGGATAAATCCCCATAAATGAGACTTATTTGTATTTGGAACTGATGTTAACTGCTATTGTTTCTCATTGTGGCAGCTAAGATCTGCTTTGAGTCTTTTTCTTCTATCATTTGTAAACAAATTCACGTGTCCCTCCATAGATAGAGATTTACATAGAGACATAGGTTTAATGACGCGAGAAACCCACATTTGAAATAGGTTTTGTTGGAAGTTAATGAACTCAGTTATACTTGGTTTAGTCTTAAGGGGGCCTTATACCGATCCCAACATCAGACTACAAAGCAAACTAGTACAACCAAAAAGTGTTGTATTTTCTACAAGCCAAGAGCGACAGAAGGAACCGTAACTTAAGCTAAACTGATGCTAGCCTATCAGCTTTATTTTAGCCAAGAGGCATTGATTTCCGCAACTGGATGCCGACATTTTTCATCCATTGTCCACCCTTCGACATTATAGAGACTGGCAGTCTGCCGAGATCTCTTCATTCATCAGCGGATCTGAACTGTGAACTTTCAGTGGGGATTTCACGGGTCACTTTTACTGCTCGATCCAGCTGCTGGGGGAATAAGAGGCTTGCAGTATGGCTTAGCTCTCCGGTAATCACAGCGAAAGTCACTATGTCCTTGCACCGTGTAGCACTTTTAAAACGCAATCTGAGTGGGATCACAGAACATATGAGCCGACGGCACAGTGTTTCAATAAGCTGGGATGAAGGGGAATGAATTGGAAGATAATGACCATTGTACTTTGAGGATTCATCCATGGGTGGGTCAACCAGTCAGCGACCCGTTGGCTTGGTTGGGTTCTACACACCACATGTAGTCTTAAATGGGACCAGCTAAATCCTCTTTGATGTCCGGCGACAAGCTAAAACCAGCAGCACTCTTTCTAAATAAGGGGAGTTTCTTCCTGAACGGGAAGGAGGTTGACGTCAGTCAGGAATCAATCCGCAATAAGTCTGACAATACGGTTAAAGGAATACTTTGTGACACAGTATTTGATATCATACGTTCCAACATTTGAATTTGCAGTAAAAAAACAACAACTCTAGGTCATAATTTATTTTTTGCCGAAAACGATGACACAGTAACACCTTTTACTGTACTGTGTTTAAAAGGAAATTCAAGACATTTCTATAAACTGGTTAAATTTTGCATCAACCATAAATGAAAGATACCGACAGCTTCTTGTTTATGCAATTCATTCTGGGAACTAGGCCTAACCATTGACCTACATAATTGCTTTAGTGTGGTGGCATAATGCCCAATTTTCACAATTAAACAGAAAACAAAATAGCATTGGATTAAAAAAGGACTTGGTTCGAGCTGGATGTTGCACCCCTTCATGTACATAACACCTAAAACAGGCAGATGTGAAGCAACAAATTCTGTCACACCTCCACGTCATTAAATCCTCTTGTGAACTTGAGCTGCACTTCCACATCACCATCCCAAACCAGGCAAAGGTGCCATCTGCCACAAAACCTCTTCGTGGGCACCAAATACTGCACTGCATACCAGCAGTATTGGTAGTAGATTATACACAAAAAGAAGAAGTACAGGGACAAAGAATATGTCGTGTTATCCTAAATATTATCCTAAATGTTGGTGTGTACACGGGAGTGTGCGTCGGTACATGCCACTGGACAGTCCTGGGGGACATGGTCCACATGCATCTGCAGAAGCAGTGACAGATGTTAGCCTCTGTGCCTATGACAAGTAACCATTTATCCAGGACTAATTCATTCTGCTTCCTGGAAAACCATGTTTACTGGGGATACATGTGTCTAAAAAAAGGCACTGTTGGACCGACCTTTCAATGGAAATCCTGGTTTGTCTTTTTGAGAAATAATAATAATGGAAGGATTTAGACTATTAAAAGAAAAATGAAGCTATCCCTCCATGTGTTTCAGAATTTCCATCATAATAAGGTTCAGCATAGTTGTGATGGCTGACCATGTACATGCTTCCACATTATTACCCATCATCCAAACATCAACTACTCATGTCATTTCAAGAAAAAGCTGAGTGTGCACTGCACGTGCCAATGTTTATGAGAAAAAAATGATGTAAACATTGGCAAAATTGCACCTGATTTATAAGAGGGAATGAGCGTACCGATGCAGAAGAAAACTGCAGGTCA